GACAGATCGCCCTGTGCATCCGCCTGCTCCCCCGGCCCAGGTTGGGGGGAGCCTCAGTCGAAGACGCAGCCCCACCCGCTTCCCTCAGCACCCGGGAGGAGGGGCTTGCGGAGGTCAAACTCAGTGACCTTAGCGCTGCCTCCAAGCCCAGGACTGTGGGCTCCCCGGCAGAAACCCCAGGGGCGTCTTTCTCTGATCCACGCTGGCAGAAGCACTTGTCTGCACAAGCCCCGGAGGAAGCCGTCAGCTGCTCCCCTTCTCCTGACAGACTTCTCTGCACCCCTCGAGCTAGACAGTGGTGACCTTGGGGGCCTGTCCCATTCTCCCCACTGCTGGTATAGTGGAAACTCAAGTGTTAGGCCAGGAAGGGACCTGCAATTGTCCTGTCCCCTCATAAGTAAGGCCCAGAGAGAAGTGAACTGCTTAACGCCACACAGCCCGTCTCCGCGGTCCTGCCAATGCTCTTCCGCCGCCTTTTGTCATTGCCCCTCCAGCCCTCTTTTCTAAGACTTTCATTGCTTTCCTCCGGCCCTTCCGTGGTGTCCACACCGCCACATGTCTGTCCACTCTGCAGCCCAACAACTCTGTTCAATGACAGTTCTGATTCGGTGAGAGACTGGGGTGTCCTGGGGGCCTGGCAGCCCCTGCCCACCGTTCTTTGTGTCACCATGGGCCCCAGCCCTCCTCCCCGGGGAGCCCCTGCCCAGCGCTGGGCTTGGCTGAGGACTGGGAGCACATGCCGCCCCTGGTTCCAGGCTCAGACGGTCCACCTCACTGTGTGTCTTCCCCGTGACACCAGCTACGTGACCTGGAGCGCGTCACACTCTGGACCTGGCTACTCTTCCTGAAGACGGGAATAAGTAGAACATACCACGGGAGCTGCCATGAGGCTCAGAGGAGCCAAGTAGATGGAAGGTGCTTTGTAAACGGAGAAGCATCATTCCAGGCATGTCCTAAACACGGGTGGCCTCCAGACCTCACACAGGGCTGGGCACACAGCAGACGCCCGCCAAGCAGCTGCAGAGCGGGGTCTCAACTGGGACGGTTCTGAGCCCCCAGGGGACGTTGGGTGAAATCTGGAGATACTTCTGTCTATCACAACCGGGTAGGGGCTGCGTGGCTCTGACCAGTGGAGGCCAGGGAGGCTGCCAAACAGCTCGCGGTGCCCAGGACAGCCCGCACAGCAAAGCACGGCCCAGCCCCAGATGTCAACAGTGCTGAGGCTCAGCTCTGCTATAGGGAGATGACAGTGTGCAACTGTACCTGTAGATACAGACGCGGTTTGTTGTTCCAAAAAAGCCAAGGAGCTGTGGGCGGGGAGTTAACCATCAAGAGACCACGGTGACCAAGAGCAAGAGCCGCCAGGCTAAGTGAGATGGTCACGTCCAGGTCTGGTAAGTTGAAAACACTTTATTTCAATTCTGTCCTCAGGAGGCAGCATAAATAGTCACAGAGGACCACAAAGGTCAGTGGGGAAGAAAAAAGCTTCGGACGCGTGGGGGGAGGAGGTGAGAGCTGACGGAGCCTAGCTGCGGGTCTGGGGTGAGGCGGTGGAGGGCTCTTGGCGGAGAACCCCAAGGGGCTGGGGGGCGTTCCCCGCCCAGGCCGCCTCAGGGGCTCCGGGAACCCAGCCTTGTGGATGGATGTCCTGCAGGGCGGCCACTGGACAAGCGGGTGTGGAGCATAATGCGTCTGGAAGATCCAGGCTAATGAGAGAGAAGGGTGAACACCCATTTCTTGGTCCGCAGGCCAGACCTCACCCCCAAACTGTGAGTTTTCTGAGAACAGTGTTCATGGACTCTGTGGGTAGTGAGAAGTGAAGGGTGAAAGGATGGGAAAAAAAAAAGAAAATTGCAGAAGACCAAGTGAAATGTGGCATCTCCCAGGATCCTGTGACCTCGGGCCTCAGTTTCCTCATCTGCAAAGTGGGGAGAATGCGCCCCACCTCCAGGAACAAAGGTGAGGCTCAAATGGGATCCTATGTGTCGCAGAACTGTGCAAACTTTAAAGTGCTGTGCTGATGTGGGGCTGTGGTCGTCCTACAAGCGTAAGGCTGCGTGGCTGAGAGCAGGGTGAGAGGCCCCTGTGCCGCTGTCCCCAGGGCTGCTCCACCCTGCTCAGCCTCGCCTTCCAGGAGGAAGAGGCCTCATCTCAGAGGGAGTCCTCGGGGGGGCCGGGGGGGGTGCAGGGGCACCGAGGGCAGTGTGACACGTTGGCACTACTGGCATTGGCAGGTGGTCCTCCTCCTCCAGAGACCCGGGCCCTGGAGAAGCCCCTGGAGGACTGGCATCTTGATACAATAGGAAGGGCCGGGGCCCCAGGTCCTGGACACCAGCGGCCCTGGTCCTGAGCCCACTGTGACCTGCTGGGTGACTCAGTCTCTTCCCCATTGCATTCCTCAGTTCTGTCATTTGTAAAATGGGGACAGTATTCCCTACCCTGCCTACCTCAGAAAGTAAATGGGGAAAGGGTGTGGCCAGAGCTTTGAACAGCATCAGGGGAAGGCAAGGGGTCATTATGGCCTTGGTGAACGATCCTCTTAATTCCCTGAAGACAAGAGAGAGGGGCAAGAGACAGAGTGGAGCTGGGCCGCTCGCAACCTCGTCAGGTGAGTCAGGCGTCCAGGGCTGCCGGGAAGAGAGGGCGCGGGGTCGGGGGCGGGGAGGACCGCAGGTGCCTGCGATCCAGCCCTTGCTGCGTGTCACTGGGACGCTGTGAGCCCAGCAGGGACTGCTGAGATGTCCCGGCAGTCCCTTGGCAGGGGAGAAGTGCAGCTTCCAGGTCCACTGGAGTCTTGGCTTCCCCTCTACTCCTTGGTCCACTGAGGGCACCCCTCGGGGCGTCCGTGGTCTCCGCCCGGCCGGGGGGACGCCAGGGCTCCTGGTGTGGCAGGGGAAGGGGCTGCCAGCACGGGTCTCCAGGAGAGGCTGGGGACTTGAGTGCACGAGGTCGAGAGGTCAGAGGTCAGCTTCCAGTTCTCAAGCGGCAGGTGGGCCCTGAGCTCTCCCCCCACTCCAGCCCCAGCTCGTCGCTGGGCTCAGGGATGAGGGAGGACCAGGGACGGGAGGCCGGCCTGGGAGGCCACCCCGTGGGGCTAGCAGTTCTTGGGGCTGTTGCGCAAGTTCTTCAGCTCCAGCTGGAGCTGCCGAATGTGGATGTCCTTCTGGGCCAGCTCCTCCTTCAACCTCCGAATCTCATCCTGCTGCCGGAAGAACATTCGGAGGAGCTGGTGGACAGAGGGGGGTCGGGGGTGAGAGGTGACATCTGGGGGGCAGGGCCCCACCGCTCCCCCCACCACTGCAGCCGCGACTGCTGATTATCAGGGATTATTGGCTCCGATGT